TTGAGGTCCATTTCGTGTTTACTGAAATCAAGCATATTTCAATTGATTATTGTTATTCATTGAACAAACAATGATTATTATTTGCAAAAATGTCTCTAAAAATGATGAAAAATTCACTCGAAAACATTTTCCAAAAAACTTTTTCAAGTTGATGGAAATAAAGTTCAGGTTAAAATTACTCGGTTTTGATTGATGGCCCCACTCTCAGCGGCAATTGCGTGAGTTAGTTTTAATCGACGAAATTCCGCAAACGAAACGCGGTGGAGAATTGTTGCCATTTGAATGAACTTGATTTTAATATTTGTATATTTATGCAAGCAATACCTTTGAGTTACCATTACAAGTTTTGTGAGAAAAAATGCTCATCGATTTTTGTTTTCGCAGGTTTTAGTAAATTAACGTCGATTTACTGCCACAATAGAAACAATGGGTGGAGAACACTCGGTCTGATAATCGGATGGTTGGTGTTTTTTCCAAATTTAATATTTTTCATCCTTTACATTGTTGCTCATTCAGCCTCTCATCCAGAACATCCAATTTTCTCATTCTCATTAGGCGGTAGGCATTTCATTTTATTTATAGACATAATGATATTTAATCAAGAAAACCTAATTGCAGTGATGAATTTTCTTGCTAACATTAGTTGGCTGTATGGTACATATATGGTAGGTGTGCGCACAGTATCGCATTAGCTGTGAACTGAAAAGCAGCTTTTGGATTGTGTGTCTTGATGAGATCTTATTAGGGAAAATCAACTTTATATATCAAAATCTTCATTTTTACAGTATAAATCACATCACATGTTGTGCGCATTAATATGGTATGCATTTTTTGACGTAATTAGCATGTATGCAATGCTGGACCAAAAACTTAATATTAGAACCCACGAATCGGAACTCATGTGTGCCCTTTCTGGATTCATCACATTGTACGTGCTCGCTTTTTTAAGCTATTACTTTATCGAAAAACCAACACCACACATTCGCAGTCATCATAATGGTTTGCAAATGAAGACTCGAATCATTCGGGATTATGACACTGAAACTGTCAACACAGAGATAATTTTGTAATTCGAATTGTGATGAACATTTTTTAATTTAAATCAAATTCAATAGCGAGCGCCGAACATATTTTTTTTATAACGACTGATAAAAACAAAACACTTATATGAGACCTCCTGTTCTTCCTCCAGTTAGATAATGGTGAATTAAACATCCATTTGATAAAAACTATTTATTAAATTGAACGGACTTAATCTTAAACTCTCAATCAAATTTAGGCTAGAATTTAGGATACTCAAAATGCATAAAATAAGTAGAAAATAAAAGTACAAAAAATAATAATAATAAAAGTAAATCGTATTGTATTTTATAAAAATGATTTTGGTAATTTTTGCTTTTCTTTTTTCCCTTCTCCTTCATGCTGTTTTTATATAATAGTTTCTGTTTATATCAATTAAATTGACCGGAGTGAAAGCAAATCGACGGTGTCAACTCGTGTATGAAAAAGAATTTTGCTTCTATTATAATTTGATATGTTCTTAACGACAATACACTCCCACGACCGCGTTCAATGTCGAACTCACGACATTACGTCAAGTTTTCAAGCTTTCAACTCAATTAGAATTGTGTTGGTGAATATTATGATTAGTGCTTCCATAACCGTTGACCTGTACTGTTGCGCATTTCTTTGTGATTGTGTATCTGAAGCGAAAACATTTTCACACATAAACCGTAAGTATTTCATTTGAACAAAGCGAAGAATCACCTCCATTGCGTAAAACACACAAAAATAATTAATCAGTCAGCTATGTGAATGTAATTGGAGTTGATTTTGAATTAATGAATAAATTGTCGAAATCTAATGGTAAGAAACATACGTACAATGTTGTTTTAAAATAAATTCCATCCAACGAGGGGCAAATGACACATTGCAAGTCCATGCGTGTTGAGTAGGACCTACGCCGTAGGTTTTCCAAATTCATATAAATTCTCGGGAGTGAATATATTGTGCGTACAAGCAATTTTATATGAATTATAGCTACGCTTTTTTTCGTTTCATAACAAATTGTTTATTTTTGTAAATCTAAAAGACATAAATTTCAATAAATGTAGCTCATGTCGGATGCAAAACAAATGATTCAAAAAGTCACCTTTAAAAAGTACCAAGAAATTTCAACGTCATTTAAAAAACAAAACAGTTTTGATTCGGAAGAATCATGCATCTTATTCACTGAATTAACATACGGAATCGAATATTAGTGCAAATAAACCAGTTTTCTTTGGTGGTTAAATTTAAGATCAACACATTTGTAGAAATAACGGATTCGTCTAAAAAGACTATTTCGCCGAAAATCGAACCACTTTGTGACTAGACTTTTTTGAATCTTTTTCCGAAGAAGAATTTCTGAAAACTATTCCCACCATTCTCTATGTTTCTGGGTTTAACCGTAGTGCGATTTCGTTACTTTGTGTGGACTTGTGTACGCGAAGCGTGCGATTTGTTTAAGTTCCTCTACATTGTTTATAAGTTCTTCAAAAATTGTGAAACATGTAAGTAGTCATTAAGGTTAAAAGTGCAGCGAGACATTCTATCATATATCTCGTGTTTTCTAGATAAACAACAAACTACTCCCGTACTGATTAGGTTAAATCACAGTACAAGGTATATTGTAAAACTGTGTAAGCTCGATGATTCAAAAAAGTTAGTCATTCAAAAGCCCTTAGTCATCTATTTTCACTTTCCAGTCACTGTGTCAGTGTTTTGTTTGAACACAAAATCAATATATGTATACTTTTTCTCTTAATGATATAAATATTCATAGCAAAAAAACTTGAATGGTATTAACGCAAAGAAATCTGATTCAGATCAGTAAAAATGTTTGTTTTTTCATGAATCGCAGCTGCGATTTTCCTTTGCGTCAACGCACACACAAAGTTTACGAATTTTGTATGACTGGGTTCCTTCTCCTGCGCTTCTTCTAAAGCTACTGCTTCTTCTAAAGCTTTATACAATCGAAACTTTTTCCATATTTGAACTATTTTCCCCTCAGAAATAATAATAATTTCCATATTTCTTTCTTTGCAACAGAATTACGTTGAAAAGTCACATACACACACATACACTCCAAAATGACTAAATTCTACTTTGGATGGAGAGATGTTAGCTTATTAATCGGTTGGAGTTCATTAATTTTCAGTGCTATGACATTGTTTTGGAAATTTGATGACCATTTTCTATCGGCATTACTTGGTGAAGTTGATTTTTTATACCAAGTCAATATATATTTTAATAAGAAAAACTCTTTACAGTGCTAAACATGGTGTCTAGTATCAGTTGGCTATGCGGCACTTTTTATGTGAGCTTTGACATTTTCCAAACGAATTAAACTGTTTATTGATTGTTTTATTTTTATTTACAGTACAAACCCATACTTATGTTACTTCCAATGGTCTGGAGTGTGCTTTTTATAGGCTACCTTTTTTGCTATTTATTTATATCCAAAGTTAAAAATGTGTATCTAAATTTATGCTATTTGGTTGCATTTACCTTGACATTTTACATTTTGGTAGTCTTAAGCTATGCAGCAATCACAGAATCAACACAAGATATAAGTACCAATGAAATAAATGATCATCAAATGCAGGGATTATGTGAGATATCCGACAAGAATAATACTGAGGTGAAAAAGAAGTCAAAGAAAATTACGTTCGGTGAAGTATACACGATTACAATCACGTAGTAATATTCAAAGGCGATCTATTCTAAAGCGATGCCATAAAATTGTATACTCATAAGAATTATTGAATTTTAAGACAAAAGATAATTTTAAGAAGATTGCTTTTTCAACTAGGGGGTAGACACGTGGAATAGGATTAGACTTTCAGTGTTATAATTCAAGAAATTAAAGTGGAATAGACAATTCAGTAGCTGGATTCGCATGAATTCACCAATCCTATGTATGGAATAGCGAAAATGGGTTAGATTCAATGTTTTTGTAATCGATAGTACAGGATTTGATCAAAGCATTGAACTTGTTTTGAGATAGTAATTTGTTCTTTTTGAAATATTTTTTATTTTAAAAGTAGATTACAAATTTACAAAACAATAGATACACTTTCTCAAAATTTGATTGATGAAAAAAATAATTTGAATTATCAATAACAAAATGTTATACTGTAGTGTCGATAAATAAGTTTTCAACAAAGTGAATAGCGGTGAAATGTGACATCATATTTGACAATGAAATGACGGATTGTCCCCCTAGTTTTTCAACAGATTAATTATTTTAGCTTTTACGCTACACATATAGTTCATTTGTGGAGTAATTTTGTCAATGGCGGGATTATGCGGGGTCGGCGGAGATGGCATACAAATGCTGTGTGTACGAGTGCAATATTTGCTGTGCATACATTTGTTCAAACGAACCCAGTAGCCCAGCATAACTGGACACTCATCATCTCTGTGTAAGAACGATACACATAGAAAAGAACTCCGCACAGTCTCGCTATTGACAAAATTACTCCGCTAATGAATTATATGGGCATTTAAAATAGATTGTAACAAAATTAAAATTGATCATCAAAAGAGAACAAATTTAAATTTCATAATTCATTTGTTCATCGGTTCAAACAGAGATATAACGTGCAACGTGTGTATCTCTTGTGATTAGTAAAAAAAATACCAAAAACCATTGAAAATTAACCCACCATTGAAAGTCACTTCACATCTATATTATATCGTGACAGCTCTATCATCAATGAACGACTAAAACTAGACTGCGACAAAGAGCTATTCAATATTCATTTGTTTTGAAAGGTTTCACTGTTACACCAGACGCGCTTCGATTCGGTGTTGTTATTTTATGTGAAAAAGTGCTGACATTTATGGATTATGTTCTGCCAAAATAAGTCTGTTACGTCTTATAAGTCAACAAATGAAAGTTTATTTTTAAAAATCGCTTAGGTTGCGTTGACCCAAAGTTTTCCAAATGACTATATTTTGATACAATTTTTGACTTTTCCTCTTCTGGGAAATGTATTCTATTTTGAATTAGTGGACGCGAGTTTATACGATAAATGGAAAGAATAATTAGTGAGGATATTCATCTAAATTTTTCTGATACAGTGTTGATAGTTTATGACGAAAAATGATTATCCACAAAATAGTTGGTGAACCATCGAAAATATAAACCGATTTTTTGAGCTTATTTTTGCACCAAATTCAAAAGCTGTGTTTTCGTAATAATAATCATAATAATAAAGAAAATAGTCAATAGAAATAGAGCATTTGTAATGGCACAGATATTTATATTAAAATAAAATTTCATTTTACCGAATGTATGTTTTAAAGAGAGGAAATGTTGTTGGGGCAATAAAGGCATTAATGGTATTTATTGGTGTTGAATGTATGTTTTTTCGACAAGCTATCGAATTTCGTAAGAGATATTCCAAAATAGGATTTGGACTGTAATAAAGGTATCATTTTCAAAACTTTCTATGTAATTATATGTTCAATAGCTATATGAATATACAAATCATGAAACTATCTACTTCACTGCACTAAATACTGATAATATTTCAATGTTGGATTTACCAGTGTGGACTTTCAAAATGTAGGTACAAAAAATCACTGTGTGAAATAATCACATTCAGATTTATGTATAGAATTCACCACTGAACTGGAATTTTGAACGTCCACACTGGTAAATCCAACCTTGAAATATTATTTCTTACTTAAAATATTATCAACTTGGGAACAGTCATTATTTCATGAACTTGAATTTAAATTCCCTTGTGGACTAAATTCACATACAGGTTCATACGAAGCAGAGTTAATTAAAAGTTTTTCTTTCATTCCTATATAGTGTTATCCAAATCGAACCGTCATTTATTGCCGGTCCGCATGTGAATCGTGCATTTACCGGTGATTGCATAACATTTGTTTGATTGGATAACTCATACAAATAAACCAAGTCCAAGTATTCAATGTCAAATTCAAAACCAGCGACACAACCGTCGCATTAGTATTGCGTCAACTGTGAAAGGACGAACAGTGTTTTCATACCATTTCCATAAAAAAATTGTCACAACCAGCAGTGTTGCATTTTGTACGTTGAAAAGTATTTGTAAATGAAAGTTTTAATCAAATAATAAACAATAAAGAGGAAATCATCTTGAAGAGAGAAATAATAATTTCATGACTTTCCATTAAAATTGAAAAATAGCAAGTGGGGTCAATTTAAATTTAAATGATCAAAGTGAAACCTACGCAAAATCCAACTTCTATCTATCAACGAAAAAAGCCTTGATTAAAAATTGAACAAAAGAAATGAGTCGAAATGACTCTTTTGGAATTCACGTTGTTGTTTTTTTCTTCGACGAAAATCGATTTCATTGATTAAATGATACATGGCATGGAAATAGAAAGCAATGAACAAACAAAATAACCCACACATTCAATACTCTATCATGAAAGGTGGTCTGGCGTGTTAACAGATACACGCATGGTTCAAGCGTCAATTTATCGAGTTTGAATGTGTACCATGAAATTATAATATTTTTCCACCGGCATTTGTCATGCTAATGTTATTTCTTCCCCCTCCCAAATTGTGGTTTTATCGAAAGTAAATTCCATTGGCGCTAGTCAAAGTGGAAGGAATTTAATTCGATTAAATATGCATTAGTAACGATTTTATTTTGGGAACTATTTTGATGAGTTTCTCATTTCAATTTTTCTTCGGAAAATGACAAAGAAATAATTTCAAAATTTTTTTTTTTGGCCAGCAAATAATGACGGTTTTGATGAATCTTTTCTACAGAAACGAACATGTTTAGTGGTTGTATCGGATGGAGAAGGTGGAGAATAATTGGCCTGATAATTGGATGGCTTGTGTTTGCCCTGAATTTTATTGCAATCATTTTATTTCTTCGATTCACGGACCATGTTGACACAGCTCACGAACTATTTTATACAACTTTATTATGTTGTAAGTTTTATCTTGTACACGAAATCAAATTGTCATTTCCCGGTGTTTCATTTTTATTCATTTTTTTTCTCTCTTTTTTTCAGTGATAATATTTTCCGTCAATCTATCGTGGCTGTATGGAATCACGTTTGTGGGTTCATTGAAATTTTAGTACTTTCCCCCTTGGATTTTGAAATCGAATCGAATTGCACCAGAATTTGAATTATAACAGTTGATACATCACGCCATCTTACAGGCATTGTATTCGACTGTCATGATTCATACTGAATGCAATTTGTCTTTGAACAAACAAAATCAACTTTTTTACTAACTTTTGTTTTTACTTTCAGTACAAACGAAACTTCATGCTATTTGCTCTAACATGCTATGCGATTAAGGGTGTTGTGTGCATTTCGCTGTTATTTTACTACAAAATTAAGACATTATATTTGATATTGGTGTCGGTGGTCGTTATAAGCCTATTCATCTGTGCGGTTTTTAGCTATAATTTTGTGAAGAGATCTTTTTCATACAGTACGTCTGGAAATCTGGGGAATGATCGCCTCTCGAATGTATACGATATATCAAACAGTAATATTGAAAATATTATGATCAAAACAATTGCTTGATATTTCTCTTTCTTGAAATAAAGATCAAAGAGTGCTGAAATAATCAGCTTTATTACTTTTCCGCACACCTAGTGTGGAGAAGGTCTTTTCTCATTGTTTTGAAGTAACGGACAGAGCTGAGCACGAACCTCAACGACCGACTGTTCGTACCCAGCTCTGATTTAAGTGAAATGGTGCATTTTTGGCACATCTTGTAATAGAAATTCTTTTATTTTACATTATTTATATAAATCTGTGTGATTTATTAGAATTTTTTTAGCAATAAACAGTACTGACCTTTGAACATATCACATATTAGATAAGAAAACTAATGTAAATGGAATGTTTGCAAACATGAAATATAACTAGAGTTTTGCCCATTTTTAACATTCTCGTTTTCCTCTGATTATTCTAAAAATAGTTAGGTTTTGGTTCTGAAGGAGACACATTTGGTATGGTACAAAGTGCTAAAAAAGTAGGTTAACGATTGATGCTTCTATGTCTAAACAATGAATTAATAATCATGTGTGCTTGGTGTGAATAATATGTGTCACTTTCCATAAATTATATATGATTTTGTGCTACAATAAGTGCTGGAAAGAGAAAACCAGACACAAAAGAAGTCATAGACACAGACAAAAGACCTTTGGATAAAGAAGACCTTTTCAATATATTTATTTGCCGATTTAATTACTTTGATTTTGTCGTTTTATTTATGTGTACATTGACGCTGTTTAAAACATTTACCAAAACTAGTACTTTCGGGTTTCATTTCTTTACAAAGCTCGAAAATTTAAAATAATATTTCTCTTTCGTTTTATAACATCAATTTGCTTTCGATATATATTTTTGATTATTTGATTGACTCATAAAATTCTCCGCTTAGTCGTACTCGTATCGCTGTCAATGGCTGGTAAACTTGGAATCGTTCCCCCTCCCCATTCAATCGTAAAATGTGCAATCCGGTTTATTTACATAAAACTCATGACAAGTGTGTTTCATCGAATGAGAGATAAAACAAAACATAAGGGTAAACGCAAAGCATGACGATAAGGCAAAATTGCTTGCCAGCGCCACCAAATGACTCCATATGATTCTATATAGTTCTGCGGTTGCCAGCGGTACTAATCTCTAATAGAGCGTTGCCGAGCTGTCATTATCGTCGTGCTTTGGGTAAACGTATTTTTAATTTGTATTCAATTTTACGTGAAATCGCAAAGACGAATTCTTTGATCAATTATTTTGCGATAAATTCACGGCCAACTAAGTTTAGCTCAAACAAAAGAGACAATTTTGGTGATTCATAGTCATGTTCATGGTCGACTAAAGGTTAGGTGAATAACTAAGTAAAAATACTTGCAGCAAGAGTAACAATTTTTCTATTGAGTAGGTCCAAATTTGGAAAAATACCCTTATTATTATTGTTGAGACTGAACGCTGTTTTTTTTTTTCAAATATATATTTTTGTTGCTCACCGAACAAGCAGTAGATACATTTCGTGTGTGAAACTGCCAAGATGTTGTATATTTATTTTTGTTTGCTTTCGATTCCGGTCGTAATAGAAGCAGTGAATATATCTTATCATCATGGGTTCGTTAGTAGTCCAAAAAGTCGTGCATTGTTGTGTCAAGAACATATTAACAAAAATTGTGGGGACGTTCAATACGAACCCCAAAGCGTCGAAGGTCCAAAAGGATTCCCACTATATGGACCGATGGATGGAAAAATTGCAAGCGCTGGTGTTAGAAGATTCCGGCAACTAGACGAATACGATACTGAAAACAATAGCTCCCGTTGGAACATCCAACATATAAAGTTTATATCAACCAATGAAACTCACGTACAACAAACATTTACATGGGAATTCACAGCGCGGCATTCAACGACAGTTTTCAAATTTTATTTAAGCAATCAAAACTACACAACAGCAGACCTTTTAACAAGGAGCGTACTAAATACGAATCCATTTTGCGAAAAGGACCTAATGGGCTCCAAACCGAATCGAACAATTAGCATTCCATGTTTTATTCGCATTGATGATTTGATTCCATTTACGAAAACCGCTGGTGTTATCTTATCCACTTGGGATATCGCAGGTATTTTCATCAAATTCAATCAATAAACTAATTTAAATCAATTAAATCAATATTGCAGATACAACCAATGCATTTTATCAAGTGATCGATTTTATAGCAACAATCGCTTAAACATTGTTTAATATTGTGAGCAATCGAATAAATCAGAGTGTATTTCACGAATAGAACTCGTGTTGTGAATGTCTTTTATTATCAGTACATAAATTTTCATCACTTAAACTTGTGATCATTTTAATAGCCAAAATATACTTAGCAAACGAATTAAAAGCAAAGAGACTGTTCGTCTACTTTCTTGTAAAAAAAACATTTTAAAAATTCCAGCCGAACATGAGTTGTAAACAAAAAAAGAGACAAATTTATCAAACTCAGCATTTTTGCTTACTTTCGAAGCATATAGTCAGCTATAGATAGACTATAGTCACATTAAGTCGAGCAATTGAAACGATTTGTCTGTCATTTTAAAACTGTAAATTCTTGTGTTGAAAGTAAAAAACAGGCGCGGCGAATAATCACCAAAAGTCAACAGTTTCAATTGATATTTTATTACACATTTACTCAATGCGACAATCACACGCCAGACATTATATTGCGATATTTTCAGCCAGATGAATCAGCTCGGCGAGAGATATCGTGAAGCGTTGAAATTGGGATGTATAGTCAAATGTCCGCTCATGTGCAATTGAGCCAAAACAATGGAAGTGATTGTTATAATTACATTGCTACAGTCAATTTTATTATTTTAACTCAATTTCAGCGCCTGACGATATCTAGCTGAGCTGATTCATCTGGCTGAAAATATCTCAATATAATGTCTGTCACATACATATTCATAGGCCTGCTTTCATAAATGAATGGTCCATGCATTCAATTAATTGATATCAAAAATAATCACTTTCGTCTTCTCAGCTAGAATGTTAAACAAAGATATATATATACATTTTGTAACGATTATTATACTTTATTCATAACGGTATTACGAACTTGTAAACACTAATGTTGCAATTGTTGATCCTCTACATTTGATATAGTGTGAGTGCAAAAAAAATGTGTAACACATATGCATCGATATGTACACATCAGTGTGCCTTTTGTTGCAATCACGATTTTGGACGTAATGAAATCACTTACATACATACATCTTATGTCAATGTCAAATTGGCCTGATAGTCTAACAGCAGTATTGTGACAACTGTGAAAGTGGAAACATTGCCTTTTTTATTCCCTTTAGATCTAGACTAAGTGTTTTTGGCCACATGAACTTATGTACAAAAGTGTGTTGAACTTTGGTCAATATAGAAAATTCAGTATTTGGAATAATTGCTCAATTTTATTTAGGATATTTTAAACATTTCACTGGTGAATTTATGAAAAAGCATACAAAAATACAAAAAATATCGAAAAGAAAATGGAAAATTCCCACCCGAAGACATCGATGCACGCTTGTGTACCCACATAAGATACGCATTTGCTGATTTAGATGAAGATACATCGTTATTAAAACCACACGATATACGAACCGATACCTTTAGTTTTATAGAATCTAATTACCGTTATAGGTGGATGGACTGATTCCACCGAAAAATACAGTCGTCTTTTGACAAATTCGAGTGCTCGTCAGAATTTCGTTGAAAATGTTGTGCAATTCATTAAAGAGCATAATTTTCAAGGTTTGGATCTTGATTTAGAGGTGAGTTTTGTTCAAGTCTATTTACATTCATCAATGAATTTGTGCCAATTTTTCATAATTGATTTGATTTTGCATATTACAGTTTCCATCATGTTCGGAGACGCGAGATGCTGCCAGAGTGTAGGATTTGCGAATCTTGTTCAAGAATTATCGGCAGCGTTCAAACCGCGTGGCTATTTACTATCGGCAGTTGTTTCACCGAATAAAAAATTGATGCCGGCTATGATGTGCCGAAATTGTCACAATACTTGGATTGGATTTCATTGATGACGTATAATTATCATGGTAGTTGGGAACCGGAAACCAGACATCATGCTCCACTTTATTGTGATGATAATATTGATAGTTTCAATATTGATTATACTGTCAATCATTGGATTAATAAAGGTGCACCGGCACATAAACCTATTTTGGGTGTGCTATGGACGATCATTCACACTAGAGAACAGCTGCCATCACGATTTGAAAGCAGCAGCATATGGTGGCGGAGATCCATGTACCCCTAATTTTGATTGAAATTTCTTCAAACTATCAGAATGTTATTTTTTGTGTAAAAAATAGGACCAATCACAAAAGCAACCGGTATCTTGTCATACACTGGCTGGCTACGTAATACTGAGAAAGACATGGGACCGTATTCATTCTTATTGGATCAATGGATTGGATATGACGATGTTGAAATTGTCGGATTAAAGTCAAATACATACGAGACAACCATTTAGGGGGGAATGCTTTGGACAGTTGATTTAGATGATTTTAAGGAAACCTGCAAACAAGGCAACTATCCATTGTTGACCGCATTAAATGAAGGAATGCGACGTTTACGTACAAAAAAATACGAACAACGGCAGCTGAGCTGGTATTGCATGAACCAGAGAAAAACAACATTAAATAGAATAGAAAAAACAATATAAAACCAACAATATTTACTAATTAGGAATTCATTTTTTTGAAATTTCAGTTTTTTTTTTTTTCAAATAAAATAAAATCAAAATATATTCAGAAATGTTTGTATGATGTATATCAAACTGGTCTCCATGTATACAATTCATAAAAAAAATCATTATTCAGCTGATGATAACAACAACAAAATTTCATCACTGATTGCCGGTTCTATCAACATACATTGCGTTTTCCACAAAAAACTATACAATCTATATAACTATACGATGTACGTCACCGCAACGAATGTCAAATTCGGCATTGAACTCTCATCGAATGAATGGCTCAAACAGTATTTTGTCAGCTGTTGAAATGGACGTAATTCGCGTTCCCTTGTCTATACGCTCAATTCATCTGAGATGAAACTGTACTCGAATTTCAAATCAATTCAACTAACTTTTAACATTTTCACAAGTTTAAGATTCAATTAATAGTATGTGATTTATTCACAACACAAAATCAGGCACGAAAAACCCCACATTAAAATAGAAATTAAACAATTTTTTTCCAAAAAAAACCAAAATATTTCATAATTGCACTGTGACACAAGAACCATAAAATATGTGTATGATTTGCAATTTTCAAATGGAAACCATGTACAGAATATAAAAATTGCATTTTTCTTTAAAAAGTGTGAATTATTATTTAAAAAAATGTGTGCAAAACAAGGATTTTCTCCACAGTTTATTGAATAAATTTCGTTTTTGTAATATTCGATACACGAAAAAGGAGAAAACTATAAACAAAGTGAAGCGCATGCGTGCCATATAGATTGCTGTAAGTACAAATGATTCGAATAGTGCTTTACATTCAACCTTCGATTTTATTCTCCTAGCAGCTGCCATGTCGCAAGACATACAAAACTATTTTGTCAAACTGACACCGTCAATAGACTATTATTCAGAAAATCAATGTTTATACCGAATTTGTTTGACATGACATTGAAGAATTTAATTTTTAAAAATGTTGATTTTTTTCTGTAAAACTAAAAGACGTCAACAGCCATATATCAACAGTCCATATTGAAAATGTCAGCAAATTGTTACAATCGATGCATGCGATGGGAACGATGGCGAACAATTGGCATCATAATCGGTTGGACGGTATTTGTGCCGAGTTTTCTTGTACTTATTTCAATTTGGAATTCAAACATTGAACGTCTTGGCAACAATATCGAAAATAATTTTCAATTTTATGGATACAAAAAATATCATCTGTACTTTAAACTCTTTTTTGCTCGTAAGTAACAATCGCAATCATTTTTTTTAACAAAAATAAAAGGAAGCAAAACCAATTACACTTTAATTATTACTAACTGTAACTTTTATTTATTACTTTGTAGTGGCAAATTTTTGGGGTGTGGTATCATGGATTTACGGCGTGACTTTTGTGAGTTAATTGAAGTTTTAGTACTCAACTCACCTTCCTAAACAATTTATCTTATTTTTTTTTTTCACAGTACAAACCCGTCTGCATGATGGCTGCGCTGATTTGGTAAAATTGAATTGAAGTCAAATGAAAAATATTATTCCTCCTCGTAGATCAGCAAAAATGTTCAAAATTATTTTTTTTTTCAGGTATGCATTTGTGGAAGTGTCCATTGCATACTCCATATACAGTGGTGCGAACAAATTTAAATTCGAAAGTGAAGTGGCGCTGGTGCCGATTTTGATCATTCCTTACATCCTTTGCATTTTCAGCTATGCATTTATTCGAAAAGCCACTGACCATACACGAAGAAATGATACAACCATTGCGATGGCAAACCTTCAATATGTTACAGTGCAAAGGATAGAAGATCCAAATTCTTAAAATTTGAATCCAAAATCACTCAAATCAAAACCAAATGCTCTTGTTATATATATCAATTAAAAGATTATTTATAATATATTTTCGCTTACACATTTTTTGCTTAAAAAATGCATTATTCTTGATAAAATTGGAACATATTATTCTCTTATGACTTATTGTGAATTTTATAAATTTAGAAAAACAATAATAAAATGTGATTTTTTTTAGTCTTCCAAACAAGACTAGAGATTAGATTGTTTAAAGAAAGTTTGTTTTATTTTTATAGCAGCTTCTCGAGATAACATGATTGTTTTTGAAACAAGGTACTGAAATGATACGACACAATATATGATTATTTGATTTTGGGGACGAAGCAAATTAAGTTAGTAAGTAAGTAAGAAGAATCATGAGTCATTTTCACGACCACCAACTGAATAATTTTGTTGGACGTGATGCGTTTTTGTTGTTGTTCAATCTTCTATTTCATATGGAGATGTAACGCAAGACACTATACAGTATACGATTTCAAAGTCAACAACAGACCCCAGTAAGTGCACACTCGACCAACAATTCTCATGTTCATACACAAAGAAGAAAAAATAATAAAAAAAAACACTCCTTCCATTCGTCACACTGATGTTTCCGAGAATAAAAAGGTACTTTATACATATTTCTCGGTATTAATCACTCAATGCTCCAGAGAATTGAATGCTCTAGAATAAAAACAACGTACAGAATGGTTGTTATATCAAAGCGGAACACGGTTTTTTTTTTATATAGAATCGTTGTTGTATTACAACAACAAATCTATGTTAAAAAAACGATGTGTTCCGCGTTGATATAACAACCATTCTGTACGTTGTTTTTATTCTAGAGCGTTCAATTATTCAAAACACATTCTTTGGCACTTTTTAATTCTCCTGCATGCATCAACTTGCGATAGTTTGAAATACATACATCCAGCGACAATCGGTCGATGTGTTTTGTTTACACTACATTTACATGTACACAAGCCGAACGTCGACTTTGACTATCGTCATTTGATTCTCTTAACGCAGTACTGAATTACGTATCAAAGCGGATAGACCGCTTCGGTCGTATTGTCTCAATCTGAAAAGTATGTTGTTGTTTTTTTAATTGGCAGATAAATTAATTTAAAAAGTTATTATTTGTTAATGTCTAGACGTGGATCGAACCGTTTATGAAAACGAGAGAAATCAGTGATTAATAAAATGTAATCAAATAAACTCATCCCGAAAATAAAGATTTTGTTTTTATTTTGAAGCTGATGTTCGTATCGTTTCAACTGTATGTGTTTATCTAATCGCATATTCAATTTTGTTCTCGCCAAAGAAACAATAAATTTTGTTATTGTCATACGAAAATTTCCCCGTAATCTAAAATTGACATCCCATTAGCGCAACAACAGTTCATGCGTCCAGTTTGCGACGGATACGGCTTTGTTGTGTAGAAGTTTTGCTTTCGATTCAACAGAGCGTTGCGAGCGGCATCGTATCAAGTGACGCCAACCTTTTTCGATGACTATTTGTTTTTTATTCAGTCAAACAGTAGCTAGTAAGTTTAACATACCCAAATTTTTTTCTTCTGTAGAATCTAAAAGTGGTCAAAAAACAGTGACAAACTAGCTGAAAAACATAGAAAAAAATATAGAAAAACGTCTTTTTTCTGTTTTTCATCATCGTGTTTGTACTTTTTTTTTTGGAAAAAACAGATTTTTTGGAATTAAATCACAATTTTTTCAGATTAACACGATTTATTCAACCAAAGATGGATAAAGCTTGGTGTTGGTATTGCATAGGGTGGCGAGGTATAGCTTTAACCATTGGCTGTGCCACATTTGTTCCTGTGCTATTCGCTTTGATACTTGCTCATGACCATGCCAATGATTCATTATGCATAATTTGTTGTAAGTTGATTTCGATGTAAAGCGTATTTTGAATCAAATTCTTTTAAATTTTTACTCTTTTATTTCTTATTGTTTTAAAATCATTAATTCTCGTTTTTTTCAGCCGTGACTGCGATGGCGAATCTATCATGGTTGTATGGTGCATTGAAAGTGAGTCAAAAACCAGTCGTTTTTAAATTAATAAATTCTGTTAAACGATTTTTCTTCAACAGTATAAATCGAGTTACATGCTGTATGCACTGTGCTGGACTGCATATTTAATTGGATGGTGCACTGAAGTATTGAAATTAGAAAAGAATTTCTCCGTATGGTCTATTGTGTTAATTGTGTATTGCCTTGCGCTTTTATGCTACGATTCGATCATGAAGACCGAAGCACGTGAATCGATTCGATCAAACCAGAATAGTCTTTTCAATCAAACCCAAGCAAATCAGGCGGGCCAGCATCTAAATCAGACAAACGCATCATATAATATTTCGCCAATAGCATCAGGTGATTCATTAAACCAAATCGACACAAAATCACTAATCATGACCGTTGATTAATACGGAAAAATACTCAATTAACTTGTGATATAAGGAAAGCAGACTATAGTTCGGCATTTATTACATTTAGCAACACCATTACCTCTATGTTTAACATACTATAAGTGGATGGAATATTTGAATGAATTTTGAACCAAACCATTCGAAAAAATAAATTTTTCATACTCATAAATAAATTCGTGATCAACACCATTTTGCCAAAATGTTCAATTATTTTTATATTGATCGGACAATATTTGTCGTGAGCTAACAGTCGCGTACCTACGGGGGGGTTTTGTCCCCAAAACCACCCATTGAGAATCAGCTTACACTAGATAAAATTGATTATTAGGAAGGAAAATGTAAAAAATGCATACAATTTTTCAAAAATACAGAAACAAATTTCTGCTCGCTGCGCTCGCAAACCAACCTTGCCATTGTACGTTTCTTTTAAAGTATTTTATTCCTTTGTTCTCCACGATTGAATTAAATATAACTTACAAGCAAGCCAAATAAATATGCATGTATTGCATATCAAATATGCTCAACTGGTTGGAATTATCTTGATAATATTTTGGTAACACAAAAACTGTATGATTTATGGAAGGGTGAGAATTGAAGTAATATTAAACATCCGTTCATATGCAATTCTTCAAAACTTTAAGTCAAATAGTTCAGTTAAGTATATCAAGCCAATACCATCTATTAGTAAGATAGTGTCCATATTTTTTCTTCGACTTAATTTAAAAAAAATTCGGCTTGATTTCGGCTCGCTTCAAAGTCACAGAACAACTGTGAATTAAAAATAGTTTATTGTTCCAGTTTTGTATGACCAGCTCCACTCGCATTTATTTTATAAATATCTTTCATTGGGCTGAATGTGAATAGGGGATGGTAATTCTTTGAAGACTGAAAACATTTTTGCTCCTCGAGCTAATGAAAAAATGGAAGAAATTAAATACATTCCAGTCACTGAATTACAGTTTAAGCTCCTTCGGATACAATAAAATGTTATTTTATTAATTCTTGTTTATTTTGCCGAGGCAATTTTAATTGATTTACAGATTTACATACATATATGCAAAAATATAACTAAAACAAACTCGTTAAACGACACTTGAAGTACTTTTTAGTCAACTTTGCTACGGATTTGCATTCATTTCAATGGGATAACTCAAAGAAAGTATTCTACTCAGTTCATCAGTTGGAAGCTGTATAAAAAAATGAACAAATTTAGGCTCTTTCAATTAAAAAAACTTAAAATTCGAATGATCGACGATTTCATGATTCATGACGTTTTTTTACCTTTCCATATTTGTAAGGTTGACTGGGAAAAGGTTCCTTTTTGGTAACAAGTGGTGTTTGTGATTTGTAGGTAGTTGAAAGCTGAGAAAAAGAGGTAAATTAAAACCAAAACGATCACGCTATATATCGCTATAAATCGGATCGGATAATTTAAACGGTACGAACATCGAAACTGAATTAGTTTCCACTTTATGACCATCTTTGATATTCCGTTTCTTTGAATATCTATATCTTTGTTCGAGTGGATGCGATATTGCGATTGAAGAGGGTGCTCCGTCAGTATTGTCGAATTGGATCTGTACAAAAATATTGACAAGAAACAATTGTTCGAAATATATCAAAGAAGCGATAAGATTACTGCCTAAAACGATAAAAAAATAAAATTCGCATATAGTTGGCGCTACATTCTATGTAATAAGCGTATAGTTTCCATTTAGTCCGTGGCAATGGAAAACAAGTTTGCATAGAATGCAGCGCCAACTATATGTGAATTTTATTTTTTATCGTTTTAGGCAATAATTCTATGGTTTTCTTATGGCTTCTTTGAAGAGAATACTGAATTTACTCACCACCAAAACTATGAATCAAATGAAAAATATAGCTAAAATTTTTGCGTCAAACATTTCTCAGGACGGTTTTGCTATTGAAAGGCTTCTTATTTATTACTGAAGACTAATGTGTCATGACTTCGATTTATATACTTGCGATTCCATGAACCTCACTCAATGAACTATTTATTATTTATTTATATTTTTTTGTTTCAAAAAAAAAGTCACCAGGTTAATGTAACAAATATCTGTTTCATCAAAATCTCCATAAACTCTGTGATAAATAATGATAAGCTAAGAATTCGCGTATAATAAATTACACATGTGTATTGTGGATAAGAAAACAAGAGTGTTTCTAAGGAATTGTCGTCAAGCAATATTTGAACTTATATTGAAACTCAATTTGAGACCCAAAATTTTATTACACTGAAAATAATAATATGAAAATGTTGATGACTCACAAAATTAGTTCATAGACTGTTCGGTCAAAAATGTGATATTCATATTTTAAAACACCATGTAAGTATACGTTTTCAAAGTTCAAGTTCAATTATGAATATTTTTATACTTGAGGTCATTTGCCTTTATTTGCTTCCGCATTTTCTGCTATGGGAAAACCGATAGATAGAAGTTCATCAAGTTTGGACACTGGAAGCTGTGTAAAAGACAATTACAAATGTCTTGATGATTTTTTTTCAAAAAAAAAAAAGAAATATTCTGCGTAGAAATCGATCATAAGATTTCCTGTAAGCATTGTTAGATGCAAACTCTCTAAATTCCTCACCTCTGTAGAGTGTTGTTGGACCAAATTGACACTTTTTAATGAAGTTTTGGGTTTATCGGAGTGCTTAACTACAAGCTGTTACAAAATATGGAAATAATTAGGATTTGTAAAAAAAACATATTTGGTACGTACTTTTGGAAGTGAAAGAGGAGATTTCACCGGTATGAATTTACTTGATTGTTCATCATTTTTAGCACAAGAGCAAGTTCTTAGGATTTTGGGTAGTGCTGGTGGAAGCGGAGCTATAGGACCTCCATCGATGTAAGAAATCTTTCAAACAAAATCGCAATAATTCAAAATTGAACTACAATGAAAAAATGCATTATAAAAATACAAAATAGAGCTTACATCAAATAACAAGAACCCAATGAAAAACAATGTGAAAATACTCCGGTCAAACATTTTTATTACAAATTTTTTTCTAATCTGCTTAAGCTGTTCTCTTGTTCTCTTTCTTTCACTTCTCTTTATCTCTATAAAGCTCCCATCGTGACATCTTTTTTTATAGGTTTTTAGAGAGAAACACTTTGTTCAAGATAATTTTTTTAGTTGTACATAGTTGTATCTGGATTCTATTGGAATTCCATTATCCATTTAATTTGATCGTATTTACATTCTCCAAATTTTTAATGGTAGACAAATATTCGAGTACGCTTACTCGCACTTGCGCTGTTAGCAGAGAGTCTATCCATCCAAGTGAACGCATCGTAGCGAAAGAAGAGATAGTTACATGTCCCGTGTAGTATACGGGCGCTAATTTGAAGTCGCAGGCACTCTTATTCGCGCTATCGGAGATTCCTCTTTAAACATTTTCGCATAAAGACATAGCAACAGAATATGAGTTTTGCATACAGTACATACAGTCGACAGAGTCACATACTAGCATAGCACACAATATGAATAGTATGCACAATGTGCATAGTGTGCTATGATATTGAGCGACTCTGTGGACTGTATGTACTGTATACATAACTCATATTCGGTTGCTGTGTCTTTATGCGAAAATGTTTAAAGAGGAATCCTCGATAGCGCGACAAAATATTTTGCGCTCTCGGTCATTCCTCTTCCAAAGCGCAAATAAGAGCGCCTGCGACTTCCATTTAGCGCCCGTATACTACACGGGGTGTAGTCATATGAACGTTGAACGCATGCACAATGTATTTCTTCTTTCACTATGATGTGTTCACTTGGATGAAATTAACACCAAAAATAGAGTAAAATAGAGTGCGTAACTCATTTTGAAGGGTAGACGCTCTGCTAACACCACAAGTGCGAGTAACCGTACTCGAATATTTGTTTTTGTGTATGAGAGACAGATCAGTTTTTGTCAACTTTTTTAAACTTGATCAATTTTTTGGATGTTACTATACTTTCCGAAGTTGAAGATTTGGAGAGAGATGGTAAATAAACTGTAATTTGATAAAATTCCGAACATTCACTCTTTTTTCCATCTGCGATTAGCTTGGTATATGCATGAAAAATTTGTCATATGTTATCTAATGGCATGAAAAAATTTGTATTTTTTTCGTCGAGGCATATGATACATCATGCGATTTTCTGCGAGTGATCATCTCCCAGAATCACCAGATGATCGTATGATATTTTGCACGTGTAACCATCGACCCATTTATTTGATGAATCTAACATTTTCGACGAAATTCCATTCATTTTGTTTTCCCAATTATTTCGTTAATAACGTAATCGTAATCGATTTGATGACTTTCCATTTTCATTTATTAGATGATATAATTTGTCGTAGTATCCACTGATATGGCTTATATGTATCAAAAGTTGTGTAAAAGTTCCACAAGTGTTTCTAAGACGTTGAATTTATATTTGTTCAGAAAATTGTGGGTCAATTGCATTTCTGAATAATAATGTTAAACATAATAAAATAAGGAATATTTAAATTTTTATTTTACATTTATTGAACAAAAGTGACAAATAAAATAAAGTATTTATTTGATTGCTTCGAAGCAAGTCTGCAGAGGATTGACAAAACCCATCTTGGCTTGAGACTTTAAGCTGCTGGTGGAATCTCATAACCAAGAGAAAGAATTTGGTCAAGTTCGTCCATTTGTGGCTATGTTAAAATGAGAAAAAACAATTTTTGTATTTAGTTTTGATAGAACTTGCTTTTGTTTCTTAAAATCAATCTCTATCGATTGAAAAATGAACAAAAAATTCAAAATTTTCTTACCGGGACTTTTGTGTTTACATCTTTTTTGGAACCTTTTTTAGTCGAGATAATAACACTATTCTTACCGCCACTCTTACTTTTCAACTGATACAAAAGAGAAGAAATGGATAAACATATTAAAAGTGAAATTGATATAATTAAATAATCGCAACTAACTGTTGGAAATGTTGACTTATTGAGCTTTACAACAGACGAAGGCTTTCGGCCATTCTTCAATTCCGACGGAAGAGCCTTTTCCGCTACTGCGGTAGTTTTTGTAGGTGAATCTCCACTTAAAGCAGTTGAACCAGAACCAGATGGCGCTCCGTCGATGTTTCCAATTGAGACCTATGAACAAATATTTTAATGTAAAAATTAAGAAAATAATTGAATTATTCCAAAAAATCGTTAATTTACCAAAGCCACGAATCCAATGAAAAATATTGCGAACATATTTCGATCAAACATCTTTTCTTCTTTTTAATATTACAAAAATTCTATTTAAGCTGTTGAGCCAACTGATGACTTTTCGTTTACGATTCAACACTTTCTGATAATTTCCACGGAATAGCTTCGTCTTTTATACTTGCGTTTCATTCGCTTTACATTCCGGAAGAAATATTTTCTCTTTTATTAAATTTTCAAATCCATTTTTTTTCCTAGTTTTTTTTTCAATCGATTAAAGTCCCAGAAATGTCATTGTTTTATAGGAAGACATTCCGTATGTCGCATTCTGCAGCAAGTTTTCTATAAAATTCTCAATAACAAACCTTGCGAGCGAATACTTCTGATGAAATTGAGGTCGAATTTCTTTTCTCGAAAGTCTACGGAAAAGTAAAAAACAATTAATGTTTTACACAAACTTCAAAAAACTCATTTTTAATATTTTTACCAACAAAATACAAATTATTCAAACAAATGCTTTCAAAACTATGAAAATATGTGAAAAAACTCTGCGTCTAAAACTGCATGTATACATGTGGAACTTTTCATTAAAAGCATGTTGCATCCTTATCGATGTAAATTATTAACTCTGCCGTTACGTCATTTTTTCACGCTGTGAACAATAATTTCGATGACGAATACAATGCCGGCAATTCCCATAAGTATCAAATGGTTAATTAGTGGAACTTTAAGTTGTGCCAGTGTCAGAGCATGTTCATCGTCATCGTCGGTCATAATTTGTTTCAACCGAAACTCTGATATAAAATTAGAAAAGGTTTTATAAAATAAATTCAAACCACTTTCTATCATTGAGCCGGTCGCTTTGTCGACAATGCCTTTCACTCGTTCGGGAACATAATCATTTGTACCCAAGTAAAAATTTAAACTCAATTCACCTGAAATACAAAATATAATCATTTTTTGATACTTTGAATGACAGTCATGTCTGAATACCAAGATCTTCCTGCAACACATCAAAGTTTCGGATACCATATGAGGATACTCTTATGTAATTTACTGTCACGCTTGCTGTAACAAATGCAAAGGCACTCGAATGCATGTTAATTAATCGAGAATAGGTATACTGATTGGAATTTCCGACGTAGTTCACATTTGATCCAAGCTTATTTCTGGAAAATGAAAAAAACAATGTTCAAAAATTCGACATTTATGAATCCCTATGGTTGACTAACTTTAGCCTTTGTGAAATCTCATCATTGTTTGAAATGAGTGAATAGCTTAGGTATATGGTTGGGTTAACTTTTGCCATTTCCGAAAATGTTTTGATTCTACTATCAACAAGAAGAAATGATGGAAATAGTACGACCTCAAACCAAAATGTGGCCAAGAAAAAGCAGCCAATTAGCAAAATTCCGAGTATCATTTTCTCGAGTTTTTGGTTTGCGCGTAGATTTCCTCCGGCATAAAACGTGATCATAACATCAATGAACGACGATATATATCCATCGCGTCGGAGTCGACGACTTCTACGTACATAACAGAGTAGGGCGGCGGCTATTGCGAAAAACGACAGTACCAAAGCACCTACAATCACCTCTGTTTCATTGTAAACACGATACTTTTCCCGCTTAAAATCATCTCCATAGACAAAAACGACAAGCAGCTTAATAGATTGATATGAATACAATGGAACTATTTTCTTCTTGTCATCGCTTACAGACAAATATGCAAAAGTATTAAAAGTCAAACGTTTTTGATGATTTTCATTGAAGGCTTTCCTGCGTATGTGTTACAAAGAATTAAAAATTTGTGCACGTTTCTTAAATAAATTGCTATAATTACAGTTGCTCATTGTCCAACGGTTCATATTCCATTGTGAGCTCCTTGTATAATGTTCCAAATTTTCGGAAAATCAATTGAGAACGCCCAGAAGGTGGATCGATACACAATGGTTTGTAATGATTAATGGTCGATGCCTTTAAACTCAAAAGAATACAATTCTCAATGAATGGAAGTCCATTCCAGGTATTATATGAATTTTGCATCTTTTCACTATGTTCGCAAGTAATGAATTCGAAATAGTTGAGCACAAACAACCAATTTTGTTCATATTTTTTGAATATCGACTCAAAGACATGTGCAATTCCGACTTTGGTCATGTCATTTAGTTCAAAAGTATGCTCAATAATAACACTTCGTTGTTCGATAGATTGTTTCACTTCGGTTTCTTCAATGGCATCACTTTGAAAGATTAGAAAATACACATTGATCAAACCTCTGTTAAAATGCAGAACAAGGCTATCGAAATCAAAAGTCGAACTGAATTTTTTATTTTTGGCCAGTTCTTCATCGGTGGATGATGAAAAGATGAAAATACGATAAAATGTTAAAAACTCCTGAAAATCATCGTTGTTCCCGGGTAAATTGTCAATGTCAAAGAAATTCAATTGAAGAATGTGATCGGTTTTTTCATCTGATTTCCATGGTGTCTGGAGTGGTTCTTTGGTGACGTCAGTCAAAAGCCATGGAATTGATCGATCACAGTTCGAATGGATTTCGACGATTAAATGAGCGACTTGAAAGGCATTCGGATCGTAGAGAATGTGGCCTGTTCGAAATTGACCATCGATAAACAAATGACAAATGAAAAGTGCCAATTTGTAGAAATTCGAAAGATTCGGAACCAACAGGCTTAATGAAGTCATTTTAAGTTTGATGGTTGAAGCGAAAAGAATGTTTTTATTTTCCACACAATTTCTTCAAAATCTTGTTAAAAATTTTCAATTCTTTTTGAAGCTTGACACAAGTACTGATTTTCAAACAAAATCTCAATATTTAAAAATAATAATTTAAATTTTTGAAAAAATGTATCTGAAATGAATGTGCTCCTTTACAACGGTCTTATTTGTTGAAAATTTAAATTCTAACTGACGTGGTTGAAATGTAATGTCGGTTCACTTATTGTTTTTCCATTAGTTTTATGATAGCATTAGGAGTACTAATTTTGGACTGTATAGATTTGAAAACAAATTCGAAGTTTATTGTTTTTTTTTTTAAATTCAATTCTAATATTTGTTGATGGAATTTGTTGATGTTTTGGTTTACTTCATTTCAAAATTAAAAGTGCAAAATTCAGAATATTTGGACACAAAGTGTTTTTCCGTTGTCGCAAAAAGATTTTTTTTGCAATATTTGACGTTGAAATTTGAGAAAGTCGGCTCAAATTTATTTAAAGGCTGTATTGGTACTGGGCACTTTCTAGAAAGCTCTACATTTCCATTTGTTTTATATTTTTTCATTTCCATTTTTTATGATGCCATTAGCACTTAATGGAGATCAGATGGAATGGAATGAAATTTATTGCTTGAGTAAAGCAATAGAATAATAATCTTTTTTATCATGGAACAGACTTAAAACACTATCAAAAACCCTTGCAATAAAATCTGAAAGTAAAATTCAATTTCTCGCCAATGACGTAAATGTGAAACATAAATTGTTTGGCGTGATTGATAAATCTTTGATAGACATTTCCATTGTTTTATGCTCAACACACACATTTTTTTTTTACATATATTTTGTTAGACTTCTTTTATTTCGTCTCCTATACTTTGATAATGCGAATTATCAAAGACAACCTTGATTTAATGGATAAAAGCCTTGGCTTAAACATTATATATCGCAATAATAGTATATGTTCCAACAGCATATTCCAATTTCGCGAGCACAAAAACCTTGAAATGTATACGCTTGCAGCGGGCACAGTCACAGTGAATCATGTATTCATTATGCGTACTATAGTAGTCTGGTTTATTTTTAAACAAATTACGTAAACAAAACAGAATGTTTTTGCTGTTGTGTCTGTCGACCGCTGATGATTGTTCAGATTTTTTTTGTGTTCAGAGGATTTGCGCTTGCCGATTCGCTAGTATTGCGTCAACTGTTGCAGCACATACAACAATTTCGTAATTTTTGTAAGAACTTTCGAATCAGAATAAAGTGTACTATTTCTCAGATTTAAAGTTGTTTTTTTAGTTTTGATCATGGACGCAATGAATTAAAAGAAAAAGGAAACATTTTCAAATTTGAATTGAATTCGAACAAGAATAAATCTTATCGAAAATAGCAAGTTCAAGTTCAAGAGATAACTGAAATCATTTATTTTGCAAATTTTGCGAAAAGAACGACGCATTCTGCAGTGCTTACATTGTCATTTGTATAGACTTGTGAATGTAGTATATGTTTACTATATCAGCCTTTGACAGTTTTTATATATATTTCTGCTTTAGTAAGGTTTATTATTTTCTAACTAAGAATTTTATAAAATCCTTTCAACACAGTTCTGATTCGATCATTCATGAAAATGGAAACAAATAGTCATTCTATTTTACGTATGGCCGGCCGAATGGTCAATGTTGTAGCAGTGATAGGTCATATTGTAATTTTTATTCTCGGTATTTTCTATCCTCCACCACTGTTCGGTAATGGTTATTCTTTTTTTTAGTATGAACAAAAACAAATGACATCTTCTTTTTCAGCAATAAATCTATTGATGCATTTATCATGGCTCTATGGGCATGAGAGGGTAAGAAATCGCAATTTAAAATAAATTAATTTCAACAAAATTACAAGTCTATTGAATGTATCGAGAAGAGAGTATGTTATTCAGCGCTTATGGCTTACTCAGCTGTCTGAATAAAACCATACTCTCCTCACGATATTTTCAATAGAAATAATTCTCACAATTTCCATCCCATGTGTTGTTGCGACTAACATGATTTCCGGCAGTTTAGTAATATCACAATTATTATGAAATATAGTTTTTAAAAATTTTATAACCCGCAGAAAAAAATGGTGTTCATGGCGGTGCCAGTGTACTTGTGGATTTTCACAGCCTGTCTCAGCATTTTTATCATGTGTTTTTTTGGCCATGAATCTACAACCGATGATATCATTTACGCTGTAGTAGCATTAATAATATTTTTAATCTTTTACACAATTACAATATTGGCCACTTATGCAACGAAAAAAATTATTGTGAGCAATCAGTCAAGTCAGGCATAAATCGAATATCCTTAAGTATCCATGTAATTCTAAAAGCCTTGGCATTTTTCAAAAAAAAAAAAATTTTGATCATTTATTAAATATTCAAAAAAATTAAATTAAAATAATTCGTTGCAATTTGAAATGTTCAATTGTGATAATTTTTTTTTGTTATTTAAGTTTAAGTCATCAACATACAAATTGGGCTTTGAGCCAGCATTTTCATTACATTTTATTTGAGTAATATAAACAAACTGTATGCTGTTTTTCTGAATAAATAATAATAATAATAGAAATTCCACACAATCAAAATTGTGTTTTCTGGGTGTTTTTGGGGCCAGGGAATACGAATCTAGCGTCTTTTCGATGTCCGAATGTATGTGCGTACACTGTACGCTGTACGCAAAAATTTGTTAACACGATAACTTTCAAACCTGAAAAGTAATTCAAAATCTGACTTCACAGGATAATTGGGGGTGCCGAGGAATAGAAACCATTAGATTTTGAGCGACTTTGGTTGATAGAATGAAGTGTCATGTCTGGTGTGATGCCCATGGCCATCTATAGGAAAAATTCAATTTTTCTTCCAAAAGTGATTTTTAATGTATTCCTAAACACTCAAAAATGTGTATTGGGGGGTTTTTGGGTACGAGAAAACCGAATATGACGTTGGTTTTGTGATACAAATAATTTTCGACACACTTTTCATACAAAAATTTAAAAAAAATTGATTTTTGTATGGAAGCCATGCCTGCATGATATCGTAATAAGCTGAAACTTTGCACAGGTTATTATTTTCATCACACGAAAATACCATTCCGAGAGTTTGAAGACATTTCAACGCATATTAGGGGTACCTCCCAAACAATATTTTGGATTTTTCGCTCAAAAACGAAATTTTGTATGGGAAGTACCTTTAATATGCATTGAAATTTCTTCAAACTTTCAGAATGTTAACTTTTTGTGAAAAAAATGACCTCTGCAAATTTTCACATGATTACGATATCATATAGGCATGGCTCCGATACAAAAATTCCCATTTTTAGTAGTTTTTGTATGAAAAGTGCTTCGAAAATTATTTTTATCGAGTTTCTTTGAGTAAAAGATTTCTTTGAGAAGATTTCTTTGAGTAAAAGATTTGTAATAAATGCATGTTGTGGATCACAGTGCGGAAAAGTTCATCTTACGGATGTAAGACATTTTATTTTCAAGGGAACTGTATCAAAAATTGATTGTATCTCAAAACTAACCTCGGATTCGGTTTTCTCGTGCCAAAAAACCCTCCAATACATATTTTTGAGTGTTTAAGTCTACATTAAGTATGACTTTTGGACGAAAATTGGACTAATTTTCATAGGTATCACTCCAGGCATGACATTTTTTCCCATCAACCAAAGTCGCTCAAAATCTAATGATTTCTATTCCTCACGAGTCGTGAGTCACGACCCCCAATCATCCTGTAAGGTCAGATTTTGAATTAAGTTTCTACGATGAGCGCAATCTTGCTAACAAATTTTGCGTACGACGTACAACGTACGACGTACAGATTAATAAAAACCATGTTTAAAACGCCAAATTCGTGTTCGCTGACCTCAATAATAGGTAGAAAACATGTCTCTGAAGTTTTCAAAATTTTGACCGATTACAAAACTTTTCAACTTACACTATGTGTGCGGAAAAGTAAAAGTAATGCCAAAATAATGGAATATTATCAGTATAAAAGTAAGGCTTCTCACAATAGACAAACGCGACAAATTATTTCAGGTTTCCTGCCTACGTATGATTTTGTAAAGTTTCCCTTTCCTTCAAGCATGGGAATATTTTGGCAGAATCGGATTCCTCGTACCTAAATTAGCGGGAGTTGGTAGTTTTTATACATTAGAGAAAAAAACATGAGTATCACAAAATGTCGCACAAGAAATTAATTGTGATATAGAATATACCATTTTCATTCAAATAACGTTGTTATTCAATAATTTTGTTTTGACTTTCACGTTTGAATTCATGCAATGACGAACAACCTAGGGGCAAACTACTTCACTTTCGTAATTCTCATAATTCAATCTAGTACTCCGATAATTCCAAAAAATTCTATATAATTCCATACAATGCCACATAATTCCAAACTGTTTTTGAAGTATTTTAAATAGTTGTTTATTTACACAGAATTTTTAAATGAATATTATTATTCCAACGATAATATTTTTCGATATTTTTTTATATTTTCATACTTGTATATCACATCAACCGGTTTGACATTTCTCATACAAACAGATTTCGGAGAGTTATTTTGAATTGGTTTCATTTGTGTGTGATCGAAACGAAGGGAACGTTCCGAAAATGATTTGTACGACAATGTGTGTCTACGTGAAGAGCGATGCTTTGAATGTATGAGTATACAACGTCGCTGCTATGCAAATTGTACAACACATCGCAGTGCAAACAATTTTCGAAACGATTCGTTCAGTAAATGAAGCCAATAAAATAGTTTGGTTTCGGTTGTATATACTTGCATAAAAATATATTTATGAAAATTAAAAAAAATATAAAAAAATATTATCGTTGAAATAATATTATTCATAAAAAAATTCGGTGTAAATAAACAACTATTTAAAATACTTCTAGATTGATCTAGAGTACTAGATTGAATTATAAGAATTACGAAAGTGAAGTAGTATGCCCCTTGCGAACAACAAAGGGCTTCTAAGAAAATATTGAGCAGCGATAAGTATTTGGTTCGTTTCTTGCAAAGAATTAACATTATCTTTTAACTCTCTCTTCAAGATGTTTTCAATAAATCATGCCACTTTTTATTTTTAAATGCAATGATACCTTAATTTTTACATGTCTGACCTGTGGCATATGAATCGAAGTAAACAAATTTCCTATCACCACGATGGTAACGTTTAAAAAAACATACGTATGCTTGCGCAATGTGCATGCGAATATGAATTTACATCACAAATAAAAGTGAAAAATAAGCCGATTGTAACTGCAGCTTTGATTAGAATTCAAAAA